TAAATTGTGATGCTGGCCCTCTTGTGAATCCGAAAGCAGTAGCATTAGAAAATTGCACATTTACAAGTTGCCACAAAGCATGCCGGAGGGATACTGAAGCTAAGCCAAGAATAGCAATACTAAACACATAGCACAAATTTACAGCTCAATGCCCACACAATTGATAGTTACAGTGAAATTCTAAAGTTATGAAACTCGTAATCTCATTTGTGACAGTCATCACGATGGTCTGTGGTGGGTAGCTACAAGACCTCCTTTATGAGTTCCATTGGGTACAAGTCTCTTTAGTTTTCTTCTCAGTTGCTTCAGAGGAAACCTTCCGAAACAAAATGTTGATTCGTTTCAGAAACAAATCAAAAAATTTCATTCACTTTCCATCTCTACTTTTTCTACAAGGATGGACTGTGTTGGAGTTGGAGCTTGTGCAAATGGTTAAATAACTCCCACTTACAGAATATTATTCTTTGACTGTGAACAAAGAGAACAACAAGAACATTTACTGCTCCACAGAATACTATCCTGAAACAGATCAGCAGAAGGGTGTTGTTATTCTTACCAACAACCTGTCAAGTACTAAAAAAGAACAACAAAAAAAACCAATTCTCTACATGTGCACTCCCTTTTTCACTACAAAGATACCATATATAAATGAACATATTACAAAAGGGATTCACAAGAATGCTCAACTGACTAATCGCAGCTGCTGTTTCAGCCTAGGACTTGAAAGTCAATGTTCCTTCATAAAGAAACACGATTAGTAAGTTTCTATCTTCACAAGAAAAAAAAAAACACTTAGTAAAACTTCAGGAAATTCAGTTCAGCTCTCCAACAAACAGTGCTATAATTTATTCTAGACAATTGCATTTTATCAACAATCATACAAAAAGACTAGTTTTGCACACATAACAAACTCTGGGTAAAAACAAAATGGAAAAGTCTTTTCCTACATTGGTCCAGTGGGTAACTCGGTCCCCATGTGATGTAAATTCAAAAGACAGATACAACCTTTCATGTTTGAATCTGCAATCAACAAAAATGACGTAATGTTTCCCTCCTTGAGTATTTTTTTCATGAAAAAAAGAAACCATTTTTTCCCAAACACTTCTAAAAAAATCTGAATACATTCTGTAGTAGGAAAAAAAAGCATAAAAAGGAGCATTTTAAAGGGATGTCCACGTCTATAGGAGCATGTAAAGTTTTATGAACATGTCAGATAAACAAAACAATGATTTTAACTTATTAAAGAAGCTTACATCAGGAAAAACAACAAAAAAAGAAAAATGTCTGCTTCCCTTTAAAAAAAAAGTTCACCTAACTTTCTTAATTCTTTCTAGCACTTGTCACATATTGTGAATAACAGGATGTGAATCACATGATAAGTATAACATCAACATTTTTTTCAAACTTTTCAGTTTTCTAGAGTTTTTGTCCATTTAGAATAACAGCAAATGCAAACATCACAACAAAGAAGTCAATATAATGACAACATCAGTGAAAATAATACAAAACCCTTGGATTAAAAACACAGCAAATGATGATATGAAAGCAAACATAAAATTTATTAAATGGAAGTTTTCATAATACAAAGGCATAGGTAGACCAAACTAAAAAATATGGAACACAATTTAAAAAAACCAACAACTCACATCTTGATGATCTTCCACCCAGACAAATAACCATCATGCAGGAAAGGTGCACAAACTCCAGACCATGCCATTCAATACAGTTTCACACTTAATGCACTACACTACCAAATATGGCAGAGAATAGCAGAGTTACAATAATAAGTATCTTAAGTCAGATTGACTGGAAAAAATGAACTGGAAGGGCAAAGCCATTAGTGACAATAAACGCACTGAAAAAAACCCTTGATTCTTTGAATAAACATAGTACGAAAGCCACATTAGAAGAAAATAGAGAAAAAAAATTTGAAATTGCCTACATGAGGACAAGAATTAACCAGAAAACTTAGATAAAGCCTTGCCAAAGGAAGTGAAGAGTTTAAAACGAGGTAAAGCATAGCAGTTGGTATTACAGCGTAAAGACAAGATAAAGCTTTACTGTATGAATCTCACAATAAAGACATGTATATAGAAAAAGCTCTGTGATTAGAAATATAGATTAAAGATTGAAGAAAGCCTTGTGATTAAAATCAAAGTCTTACACAATACACAGCCCAGTGATCAGAATTTAAAGCTTAAAGATGAGAAAGCCTCCAGGCTAAAACTAAATTATGAAGGCAACACAAAGGCTATGATTAGCATCATGGCATGGCTTCATGGCAGAAAGGAATAGTGATAAGAATTACAGCATGCTAGCACAAAGATAAGCTCAGACAAAAATTGAAGCGCTACACAAGACAAAAACCACTGAATAGAATTACAAAGAAAAGCTAAGAAAAAGCCTTGTGTTTAGAATTAGAGCACAATGGTGTGATAAAATTTTTATGATGTGTACCATACAAAAAAGGACAGACAAGTCGACTGATTAGAATTACACCGTAAAGAAAGAGAAAGCCTTATGATAAGTATTCCAGTACACTGATGAGACAATGCTTAGGGATTAGAATTACTCCATCCCCCCTCCAAAAAATCCCCCAAAAAACCCAACAACAAAAACACCCCACTCCAAATACAGCTTTAGAAATTGAGATAAACTACAGTCAAACCTCTCCCAGTCGACCACCCTTTGTTGAAGAGTAAGAAGTCATCTTAGAAAGTTGGTCCTCTTTGACAGAGTCATTATAATGGAGCAAAAACGCAATGACAGAAGTAGGAAGTGGTCATGTATACAGGTGATTGTCTTGGACAGGTAGTCGTTAGAGCTGATTCGACAGTATTTTGCAGCTATTCAGATCTGGTCCACTGAAAGATGACATTTTGTTTCATATTTCGCATGGTGCATGCCTTACTAAGAGAGAGATTAATGTACTTTTAAAGGTCAACTGAAGTACTACAAACTGAATAGCTGACGTAAATAAGGTGCCCATTCTTGGCAGCATGTCACTTTCCTTATTAATTAATGGATCCTTTGAGCGCTTACAAACTTGGTTCAAGTAAATAGTTTTTAACGTCTTCAAAGAGCAATGTCATTCATCTATGGCTGTGCTTATTATAACACCCGTCACAATCAAAACTGAAGTAAAAACAAGCCTAAACCTCAGTGATGTACTCATGTATGTGAAAACATCCTGAAAAGAATAAAAAACACAAAGGCTACCGGTATTTGGGGAGACAAATAAAAAAAATCTAGAAGTGCTGAAAATCACAGGCCTGTTGACAGAGAAGCCCCAACAACAACTTTGTATTATTATGTTGGCAATCACTAGTACTTAACAGTCAACTGGACATCTGGAAACAATACGTTTTTGAAAGGAACTCGCTGACAAGGCCAAACAGAAATCCTGACGATTGTGAGAAAATTGTTCTAGTCTACTCAGTCTACTATAATTGACATCTTTGAGGATTACCCAGAATTCTTAAGAGTGCCCATAAAATGTATCTGCCATAAACAAAGCCAGTACTAATGATGAGTTCAAAATGGTGCTAGAAATGAGAGACTCCATCAAAAACAAAAGTTCAACAGTGAATATGACTTAAAGCACAATTGTACAGTGTCTTTTTCTGAAAAAGCATCTAATGAACATAAAGCAGCTTAAAAGCGATTTTCTCAATCAAAAAAAATAAAAAAATAAAAAAAGGAAATAAAGAAGAAAAGGGTGTGTTATCACAATTGACACTATTGAAACTACTAGGGCAAAGTTTAATGCCTGAAAAGAATTCCTTCCGGGTAAATTATTTTAAAAAACATGGGGCACTTGGCAAGAGTGCAAGTGCTTTTTAAATGAAACGTCTGTACTCTTTATCTTGAGGTCAATCCTTCACAGCCTAGAACTTGACAACTGCGGAAGTGACTAAACAGTTGCATAAGTAGCTGTAAAAAAGTTTACAGATGTTGCTCCTAACGGTGTACATAGATATCCACGAACTGCGAGCCAGTTCCTTTTGATCATTTTCTTACTCGTAACATTAATGGCAATATAACCCAAGATCATACACTAAAATATTCTTACGGTAAAAACACCACTTATTGCACAGTAGCACCTCACCCAGAAGCGTTATGGTATAACAAATTGTTGGTCAGAAGTAAAAGAAAAAAAAAATAACAGCCTTACAGAAACCCCCCCCCCCCCCCCCCCCCCCCCACCAAAAAACTTATCAAAACAAAATTGACATTTTTCCTCAGCATAAGATTTTTTAAAAAATGCAGTTATATACATTGACAGAATAAAGGGAAACATTTCTGAAGCAAGCATAAGATATAAATCTATTTCAAATGTTAGCTAGACTGTCATATGTTACTTGCTTTTCAACGTGATGTATGGCAGAGTCTTACACTAAGCAGTTGATTTAGAGGGTGAATTGACGGAATTATTTCTCAGGCAAGCAAAAGGAATGCGGACACAAACCTACTTAAAAAACAAAGGAAAGGAATCAAGTCTATTTTTTTTTATAGTGGAGGGTTTTATGGCGCTCGCAACTGCATAAAGTCAAATGAGCGCCAAGGGGTGGGTGTCAACAGAGAAGTCTTTACACGGAATCAAACCCACTCTGCCCACCTCTCTAGCTCAACAGCACAAGGTCTGCTTCGACTATCAAGGCACCCCGGATATAGCGGGTCACAAGACAGTGACAAACGTACAAAAGAAGTAGAGGAAAATGACAATAGTAAGGATTAGGAAAGAAAAGGCAGCAGTTCCCTGTTGTAGATCAGGCACAGTTATGAGCGTGACATGAATCAGCCCATTTACAATTCTACTGTGCTTGAACGAGAAAATGACCCCTTTGGGAATGGCCTAAAGACACTACAGTCAGTGGCACTGCCCCATATAAGAAACACATGAAAAGAAGCTGAGGGGAGGAAGGGTGATAAGCAATTACTTATGAAAACAAACAGGTTTCTAAACAACAACAACAATAAACCTGAACAAAAAAAAATGATTGAAGTGATCTTTGGAACTTGACAAAAGAGAAACTAAACAATATAAAAAGGTCTGACATTTCTCTAAATTCACATTTCAGAGCTATAAGTTAGAGAAAACGTTGTACAACTGAACAAAGGTCATACAGGAGCTGCTAACATTTTGACAGCATTGGTGCTGTCTTGTGACAGTTTCTGCTTTTTCTTATCCTTGAATTTTGGAAGAGTAATACTGACAAGTTCAAATATTTCTGTAAATGACAAATTTTCTTTCTCCAGTCAATATTCCAAGAAAGTCTACAACTTACACAGACAATACATATTTAAAAGTCTTACAATGAGGAATAATCAATATTCAAATTAACAAAGTTATATTTTAGATTCTAAGCAATTACAAGATTCAAATATAAAAGGAAAGGGATCAGAAAAAGACAGCCTGTTGCAAGACATTACAACTCGTTTTTGGTTAATACGAATTTTTTCTTGTGGTAAATTTGAGAGAAACAGCCTCCTTTCAGAAGGCTTATAATATTATCACAAATTTCATTTGTGTGCACCATACACACTCTGAGGCACCAAAATGATCGAAATAACGAAACTCTCAGGGAACACAAAGACAAAACCACTCTGATGGACATTAGGGGATGGACACGTTAGCCTCAGCTCTTCAGTCTGAATTCTCAATTTCAAAAGAACTGTCTCCGTTCTCTCCCTGCTCTTTAGGACTGTCTCCGTAGGACTCTGTCAGCAGAACCGAGTCCTCCCCAAGTAGCGTGCAGAGCTCCTGAAGTCGTTCATGCATGCGAGGCATTCCTGCCAGCTGGCTCTCCAGCTTCTGCTTTTCTTCGTTCAGAGACAGTCGCGTGCTTGTGTCGAGCTCTTCCATTCTCCAGCCTCCCTCGCCGTCAAACTGAAGCAGGTGAGAGTGGAATTTCCTGTGGCAGACAGAGGATTCATATTACACAATGTTCACATTTGGTGAATACACAGCTTTCGGTATGTAACTTTCACAAAAAACTTCCAAGGGTGTCTCTTTTGTTAAGATAACTTTTGTTTTATGAACAAACTTTTCTTATTCAGGATTTCCAGGGTATGTACTCCTCTAAAATGGAAAAAACTTTCATTCCCATTTCATCAATGTTAAAAATAAAAAGACTAGAATATATTAAAAACTTTTTTTGGTAAGTGTTTTACGGCGCTCGCAACTGCATCAGGTCACAGTATAGAGTAATATTACCGGTTCGGTCAACATTTGGACAAAAATAAGTATGTCAATTTTAAAGCTTTATATCTCCTATTTGCCTTTCCTGACAGGTAAACCGAAACTTGCTACAGGAAGCCCTGAGATTGGATGACCCCAGGAATGTACTGTTTCAGTTTGTTCGCATATTTGAGGCCCTGACCTGGTGCGAAAGTGACGCTCGATTTATTTACGTGTTCCGTCACATTTTTTTGGTATTCTCATGGGTTCGGGCAGTATTTTGACATACGGTCATTTTCAATTATTATCACATTTGTTTCTTTGCAAACTTAATAACATGATTTTTAATGCTTGTTATCAACACCTGGACACAATGATAGTGTGTCTAAATTGGTTTTCACCATTTATAGCTATTTTAATGAGTATGTATCTGACCCACTCTACTACACTGGTATCTATCTGGCTCACTCAACTTTACACTGGTATCTGACTCTACTACACTGGTGTCTGACTGTATTACACACTGGTATCATCCAATGTTAACTCTTCTGGGGGAAGAACTTCACGCTGTTTTGCTCATCTGATGAAGAAAAAGCTGTCTTAAGGACTATTTTTAGCAAAGTGCCGCCGTCACTGTAATGTCAACGAAAGTAAGGGAGTTTGCTTTAGGTTTGTGTGACACTCTTTTGGGGTTAGATTTAAAAACAAAATTTTAAACGATTTTTCTTTTGCTCCAGTGCCCGGAAACGAAAAAAAAAACTTGCGGCCCGAACCAGTACGATTACTCTATGAGCACGTGGGACACACTAAACATTTTTAGTTGGTAGGAAATTTTGAATTTTGCCCAGGTGGCGGCCAAAGCGTACTCTTAACGATTTTAGACCACCAAGGGATCTTTAACGTGCACAACTTGCACACAGGACCTCCAAGATTTTTCGCCTTTGTCCGAGAAGGCTAGGTGTAGATCTTTCCTACCAGAAGATCAGGGGTGAGGCTGAAAGACAGCAGTAGAAAGGCTGCAGAAAGAGTCAGGAGCCCAGAGGATGGGGCAAAGGAGGTGAAAGGGTGGGGGCAGAAAGTGGAGACGAAAGCAGACGACAGAACATTGCTAGACAGCAGGAAAGGACATGAAAGGAGACAATCTTAGAGAAGAAAATTTTTCCGTCGCTACCCTGATTCGAACCCGGGACCTTTGAATGAGAGGCGAATACCTTAACCTCTAGGCTAAGAGAGCCCTCAGAATAGAATTTAATGGACAGAGAAAGAGGTTGAGTCAAATATGCCATTTTAAAAATCGTTACAGTATTTGGACATTAAGAGCCTAAAACACATGTAATTTGGAAAGAGAACTGACCAGAGTGTGGGTCTATGGGTGATGGTGAGCAAAGTGATGCCCACTTCTTTCAAGCCCAGGTAGATTTTGCTCTCCACGTCGATAGACACTGCACTGGTGCACTCATCCAGGAGGGCAAACTGGGGCCTGGTCATGTCGTGGAAAAAAAAAGAAACCATGAGAAAGAACAAATACTAAACTAAAAACAGCACACAAGCATGGACAGAATTGGTGACAAATGCAACGACAATCTTATTCACTCATAATACAAGAAATTTGTGCTGGTCTCATTAAATAACAATAAAGACCATCCATGAGAATTACCCAAAACTTCAAAGGAATTATCCAAAGCTTCGAAGGAATTATCCAAAACTACGAAGCAGAAATCCTGAAAACTATCATTCAAAAGATACAAGAGCAGGAAGCCTTTCAAAAATTAAAATCTTATTTTTCCATTTCGCTTCCATCAGAATTGTTATCTACCACAAGACCTTCTTTGCATTGCCTGAATGAACACACTCAGTCTATGGACAGGTCAGCCGAAAACATTTGTAGCAAATGACTGCTCTAAACAGGCATGGAAGCCCACTTGTCTTGGAAAGGACTGACAATAACTGCTTAGGACAGGTTGAAAATATTGGGAAAACGCAAGGATGTCACGGAACAGTGGACATTAAGACAGATGACTGCTATGGAGAAGTGATCGGCCACTTAGGCACGTTTGAATTCTAAAACATAACCTTTTATGTCCAGAAAGCAAACATCTGGGCTCTGCCTAAAAGAAAAGGTATCTTTTTAAGTTGAAAGACAAGGGTTCTGTCATTATGATCACTCACTTATGGTAGAAGGTCCTGGCCATTCCCATTCTCTGTTTCTCTCCACCAGACAAAACATCCTTCCAGTCACACTCAGCATCCCAGCCTGAGAAAGGAAGGAGATACCATGACAACATTCGTGAAAAGGAGAGTTTGACAAACATACTGAGACTGCAATAAATGAAACTAATTACATGTCTGGATACAGTCTTTTCAAAATGAATTCATCAGCTGTACCTCTCACTTGCACAACTGCAGAGCATCTGTAGACTGAAACAGAAAACATTATCTATTCAATCTATAGGTAGAAGGCAGTCCTCATGGGCAGGACAGGGAATAGCATTGTTTCATAATGTGAGGGGATATTCCAACAAAATACAAGGGCATGCAACTTGGAAATCAGATTTAAGTCACTTTTTCACATATAGCTCAAGACGGTCCAACCCATTTTGAAAAGCAGTGATCATCTTTCCAGTAGAAACAAAAAGAATGAAATTGGAACACAAGATCAACAATTTAATGACAAACATTTTACAAGCACTGCATTCATTGGCCGTGCAATAAAGTGTTCAGGAAATCCTTCTGTCTCATTTTGTTAGAACAGCCCCTTGCACTACACAGGTTGGCACACTAACTGTATTGCCTATATCCTTGATCACTTGTAAAGATAAACAGGGAACAGCTTTTCCCAAACCACCCAAATTGTGGACAAAACCCAACACCAGACAGATGTGCCAACTGGCTACAAAAAATAAATCCTGAGATTTTCACTCTGTGAAAATATGAGTGGGGAGACTCAAAATGTATGTATCACATTGTCACATACATGTTGTATCAATATTTTTTATATGAAGTCCCTGAAATAAGGCAAAATCGGGACTATGTCAGAAATCTGGATTTCCCGACTAGAAGAGATCACACATACCTCCTTCCCTGTGGACAATGTGCTCCAGGTGAACAAGCTGCAGGATGGCCATAAGGTCAAGGTCGGTACAGTTCTTGTTTCTCATATCTTTCAGGGAGTCTGGGTAGATCACCTGGTCACGCAAGGTGCCGATGGACATGTATGGTCTGGCAAGAGGAGAACAGGGACCCAATTGTTAATCACAGTTATTCACATACAGTAGCAGAATGAAAATGAGGATTTTGTTGAGCTTGGGAGATTAACTGATTAAATTGACATGGAGACACAATTGGCTTTCTATCCCTCTTTTCACTTACTTTAAAAAAAAAGAGATTAACAAATAACTTATGAGGCAGAAGAAACTTAAAAAATGCAACTCTATTTCTATACCTTTGGGGAATATAGAACATAGAAGATGGTGGTGGCTTGCACAGTTTTCCTCCATACACAGGCCACAGACCATTCAAGATGCGAAACAGTGAGGACTTGCCACAGCCATTGGGGCCAGTGATCAACAAATGCATACCAGGCTCCATCTGAAATTGAACAAGTATTTAGATTTGGGGTGAATATTTTGTGACACTACCAACACAATATAATCAATCTACTCATATTAGAGCAAAGAAGCTTAAAACAATACTGAAAAAGACAAAGGAGTAGCCCTTACTGAAGCATCAGACAAAAGTATAAACCCTATCACACGGCGCACCGGCAGTGGAATTTTAGTTGCCGCGGGGGATTCCCCGCCGGGCGCCTTATCACGTCGGGGTCACGGGGGTCAGCTCCCTGTCGCGCTCTGTCTGGGCCGACCTAATTTTTGGTACTTTTCAATGTACAATTTAAGGTGTATCCTTGTATTTCTGGTAATTCTCATTTAGTGCACCCAAAGCACGCATTTCTGCTCTTGAGACTCAAAAAAGAACAAACGTTGTAACTAGTCTGGTTATTTCGTTAGACGCGCTGGAATCGGCAATGCTAAATTGTAATTTTTTAAAGACTAGCATGAATGAAAAAAAATCAATATAAAAATAAAGGCATCGTCAAAATCTGTCGAACTTTTGGAACATGAACGACATAACATTGGTGCAGATACTCAGAAAAGATGGTATCTGCGCATATAATAGAAGGCTGTAATTTTACAATTTTATCCATTGGGCACACAATTCGCTATGAAGTAATTCCTCCAAATACAACTTTAAGTGTCTAATATAATCGTGAATATTCGCATATTTTCTCGAAAGTTTATAAAAGTTACCATGAAGTTTCTCTATGAAAAGTACAAATCGATTTTAGTGCTAGAATACATCTTCAACGTAGATCTAATACATGAACAGTATTTGTTACACTCCAGAAATTCCTTACTTTTCTTAAAACACTAGGTCTAGGTTTTGTAAGTTGACTGAATAATAGGGATGACTTCTCGTAAATGGGTTATAAGAATAATTTCGAGCTTTCCAGGGACACTGAATCAGCACCAGACTTTTCCAGCTTTTTTTCCATTTCTATGACCATTTGCAATAACTGACAATGTGACTGATTTCTTTACATTCCTAATTGTGTCCGCGCATATTTCCTACACAAAAACTAAGAATGAATGTTTTAGCTGTCATTATTTTTATTCCATACAAGAAGTTTATCTCTACCCATGTATTTACACGGTTTTGTGGTTTTTTTAATCGCTTATATTATATCTTTTTAGTTGTATGCAGGCTGCCACAGACACAGCATGATTCATGAACAAACGCAGAGTAACTTTCTCTTGTTTAATAGTAAAATAAGAGCTAACGCTGATCGTCTTTAGTTAAAAAATGCAGATGTGCATCTTTCTTCTCTTATAACTTGACTATTACTACTCGCGCAGATTTAAGATTTCTCATGGTAAAAGACATGATATTCGTAGTCAGTTCAACACAGATTTTAGAGAGATCTGTTGAGCCTTTTTTAAATTAACAATCATTCATTCATAAGTTTGTAACTAAAATAGGACAAATTGGGTACTCTACAAACACTTCGTCTAGAACAAAAACTAAGGCACAGAAACTAACAATTCTAACGCAGAATAAATCTCAAGACATTGAGCTTTTAGTACATCTGCCTAATGGTTTGCCATGTGGGATGGGGAAGAAGTTATATCGTTTTAAACATAGTCAAAAATGCGAACTTCCTGACCGACACCGGCAAAGTTGCTTCAGGGCTAATTAACCCCGTGACCCCGAGCCGGGGAGCTCCGGCGGGCTGCTGAGTCACGCGAACTAAAAGTAACAGAATCGGGCGAAAAGTGACGCCGTGATCAGTACATTTTCATTTAAAAAACAAAACATGGTTGTTGTTGTTATTGTTTTCAAATCCCTTTAGCTGCGAGCATTTCGCTCTTGGCAGCGCAATGCCTCCCTCAAGTCACTACATGTCCTTGCCATCTGGTCAACGCCAGAGTACAACAAAACATGGTAAATCCAGACAGCTTGAAAATTTTTAACAGCAGGCTAACTGCAAGAAACAAAGAAAAAAACTGAAGGAAAGGGTATATAATGCCTATATCTTAAGCAGCCAAAGACATTACATATATGACACTAAATTTTCATTTTCTAGAAAAGATGTGAGGCATCATAATGAAATCAGGCATTTGTCAAAATAATGAAAGCTAAGAAACCAGCATTATTCTTCCCTTGCCCAATTTTTTTAAAAATTAAAAAATTTTGGCTCAACACTTTTTATGTTCCATATATAAACACAATTCTGTGTGGATATTATTGAAAAAAGTTGATCGAAAGCACGAGAAATAGTAAATAGGCAGTTTTTAAGGACTCTCAATCTTTGGAAGTCACCAAGCTTTGCAGACATTTTCTCGCTCATTTTACCTCCAACATCAGGTGACCCCCACCACCTTTAATTACAACTATCTCCACTTCTGTTCAATATAGATGCATTTTCTTTCGATTCAAAACAAATACATATGAACAAACTTTAAGATAATACCAATAACTCCATAAGCTCAAAAATTGAAGAGCGTCCGATTCCATCGCGCCGTGAAACATATACCTCCACGTCACTCCTACAAACATCTAATGTAGATTCAATCAAGATCAACTCCAAATTTCTTTGATAAGCTCAAAGTGTTGCAATGGTACATACCTTCAAGGAGAGGGACTGAACGATGATGTCCCCATTTGGTGTGATAATTGGAAGATCTTCAATGATGATTGTTGACTGAGTGTCAACCACAGTACCTGTACAAAACAAAAATAGAACAACTGACATGGTGAGGACGGTGAATCATAACTGACTGACTGACTGACTGGTAAAGGATATGGACTTAATAAGACTCAAACATTTCCCCTTCTCTAGTAAATATTGGCATATGTTTTCTGTCGTCTTGTTCACTTCTCAACTGCACATCAGACCAAAATCTTCAGCTTCCTTATCAGCCAAGGAAAAACTACAGATACAACAGTGAAGAGAAGCGGGGAAGCGGAAAAGACATGAGTCAAGGCATTAAGAGGCACTTCTAACAAAGAACAAAACCCATTTTTCTACCCTCAGGTAAAAACACATTTGTGAGGCAGCGTGGTGGAATCAGGCTCTCGTCAAAATAATCAAAATGAAGAAACTTGCATTTTTCCGCAGGTTTGTGAATTTTTATCAAATTTTTGTTTTTTGGCTCAACACTTTTCGTGCCCATTAAAGAACTCATTTCCGTGTGGATTTTTCTTTAAAATGTTGATTAAAGACACAAAAAACTTAAATTTTCAGTTACCACGAACTCTTAAGCAAAGGAAATAACTTGTAATCTTTGGCGGCCATTTTCTCACTTATTTTACCTCTGAAAACAGGTGACCCCACCTCCTACATTCACAAATATCTCGACTTGTATTCAAGATAAATTGAGATTTTTTTCATCCAAATGAAGACCAGTGAACACGCTTTAAAATGATACCAATAACTCTACATATCCAAAAATTGACGAGAGCCTGATTCCACCACGCTGCCTCACATTTACAGTTGACTTTCACTTTAGAGTAAAAGAATTACAGCGAGAAAACATGCCATACGTCATTGATGTGTTTCAAATACGAGTGACTGTTTGTACCAAAGCAAGCGAGAGCAGGTACGTGACAAACACCTGAGTAGCACTTCATAGGATTAATGCTTCTTTGCTTTTCAAATAAACACAACTTCCTTTGAATGCTTACATAAAATGTGATAGAAGTAGCAGTGGTGTGGTACTGCGAGTAATGAAATTTTCATTCTTGTTGGTACTGTAATTTAATAAATACATAACCAGTGTTACAGGCCAATCACATAAATGAACATTTCCTACTATGAATAATTAACACAAATGTGTCACGACGCGGTGGAATCAGGCACTCGTCAATTTTTTAGCATGTGGAGTTAATGTTATTATTTTAATGCTTATTTATTTGTCTTGCTTTTGGTGAAAAACGTACCTATTTATCTTCAATAGAAGTCGAGATATATGCAATTGAAGGAGGGGGGGGTCGCCTTGTTTCAGAGGTAAAATTAGTGAGAAAATGGCTGCCAGAGTTTGGTGACTTCAAATGCTTTTGAGTCCTTGGAAACTGTAAATTTACATTTTCTATGTCTTTAATCAACGTTTTTCAATAAAATCCACACAGTAATGAATTTCTAATGGACATAAAAGATGATGAGCTAAAAAATAAAAATTCATCAAAAATTGCATGGAGGAAAAGAAATGCATTGTTTTCTTCGATTTCATTATTTTGACGAGCGCCTGATTTCACCACGATGCCTTGCAAATACTACTATTGCCTTCAATACCAGAAACTAGTTCTTTTATAATTCTCAGTTGTTATGACTATTACCTTTTTGAAGAAGAGGTCCACTGATTCTCTCATGGTGCAACTTGTTACTCTTTGGTTTGGACACGGTGTTCCTCTTGTACTTGCCTAGACTCACATCATCAAACACTTCAAACATCTCAGACACACGTGACGTGTAGCCAGCAAGTTCTGTGATCTGTGATGAAAAAATCCAAAGAACAACAACTTTAAAAGTAAAACTCTTATTCCAAGTGTTTTTACATTAGTCATGAAATCATAAGACGAGAGTTAAATTCATGGTAGAATAAGTATTGACGATGCCTAAGAAAGGTGCTTTACTCTATTTTACTCTCTAAATCTAGTTGCAAAAGGTTGTTCTTCTTAGCAGTGACTTCTGTACTTAACAACCAGAAAAGTCTTAATAAAGAGGAGGTCTTCAGAGAGGAAGTGAAAGTGTTGTATCCAATCTCAAAAAGAATTCATCTGGAACACACAAGCATGCTCTTTGTCTTACTTGACAGCTCTGTGATGTGAGAGTAAAATAAAACTTAAACAACCTGCTGAACCATCAAACCCTAAAGTCAAGTAATACATATGAAAAATCTGAAGATGGCTTATGAGAGACAAACCTCCTTATATGAAGACATCATCCTCTCAATGGCATCGGCAGAGTTGATCAGCAGATTTCGAGCAGTGGTGAAGTATTTTGTTCTTTCACTCACGCCTCCATCAACATCATCTTCAACACTTGAGCCTGAAACATAGTTTAAGAAATCAAAAAGCATATTTATAATTAATACTGCATTGTTGTTCTTGTGTGCATTATATGATCCTCCATAGCTGTGGCCTTGGTGTACTGTATGAGGGCCTTGCACTCCCATCTCCTCAATAGGGCCACTATAGATGTCGTTTGTTCCATCTTTTCTATAGGCGTTGACTTAAAAGATCCAACTTCATCAAAGAAAGCAGAAAAATCCAAAGATCCCTGCAGGACTATTTACCAGCCACAGTGAACAAGCTGAACCAAACCCCAGAGGCACCATCATGGGAAAAGAAAAACACAAACATAATTATACACACGTCCATTCCTATGTTCACCACAAAAGATGACCACAGCGACCTGAGCAAGAAATCCCTCACCCTGTCCATGCTTGAAGAAAGATACCCCCGAGAAGCATGGATAAGGATCTATACAGATGGATCTGCTACTGATGCTGTGAAAAGAGGAGGAGCCGCAGAATATGTTCTTGTTCTTGTTTCAGGAAGCAACATCCCTGCACTCCGGACATGTCCATTGATGCTCCGTTGCTCTCTCCAAAATGTTGCCGAGGGTCCCTCTACTGATTGTGCCAGTGCACATCTGGTTGAACGTTCTTCTGTTCTTTCCTGCAAGGATGCCGGATTTTCCGCTTCCTTTTTTTATTCCCAAAAGCATCATCCTCTCCACGGCAGTACTGGCCTCTGCCTCCCTATCTTCCTCCTCAATCAGTTGGCGAGAAAGACATTTCAGGATCTCGACCCTATCTGGTTGAACCGTATTGTCAACTAAGGTGGCCTCACCAGCCAATCTGTCGGCTTTTTCATTTCCCCTAACACCTGCATGGCCAGGGCAGAAAATCCATGTGAGCGATCGTATAGGCGTTGGTTCGATAGCCTGAATCCATTCCGTTCTCAGGAAACCTTTTTCGATCCTTCTGAGGGTACACATGGAATCAGTGATAAGAACAGCATGGGTTGTGTGGGGGCGATCTTGGGTCATCCAATCAAGTGCTTTCGTGATGGCTTCAATTTCCATTCGCATACTTGATGTAGTCCTGCTGCAGGCTCCAGATGCACTGTGTATGATTTTATTGTTGGCGAATGCAACAAATCCCCATCCACTTCTCTGGCTATCTCTTTTCACTGAACCATCTGTATAAATTATAGGATCCCCTGCTTTTGAGTTTGTGTCAACAATCTCGTTGATATCGCTCTCGTTGATGGCAGCCGCAACATTTCTTCTGTCTCTGCCCATGCTTATTTTGACCTCGGTGAGGTCCCTGTATTCTCCGGCCACCTGCTCCCATTCTTCGCCTAGTGGTAGGCTCTCAGGTACACAGATTGTTCTCAGGGAATCCTCTGCTTCCGCCATCCAAGATTTTCCTCTCTTGATTCTGACTCTCCTGTTGTCATGAAGTGCTTTGTGAAGTGGATGATCCTTCTTGCCCTTTACATTGAGATACATCTTTGCCTGAGCTATCCTATGGCGTACTCTGATGCCACTTAAACCTAGCAAGTAGCGCATGCACAATATTGGAGTGTCCTTGGTGTAGCCCAGCACTGCTCTCATTGCCTCATTCTGCACTCGATCCAGCTTTGCGATCTGTGTGTCGGACAGCGTGAGACAGCCCAATCCGTAATCAATGACAGACAGGACGACCAGCTGCAACATCAGGAAGAGCACTCTTTGCGGAATCAGAGCAGCCGCCATGGTCTTGATTGCACCAACACCTCGTTTGGCCTTTGTTACCACATGATTCACATGCTTGTTGAAGGATAACGACCTGTCGAAGACGATTCCCAGATACTTCAGCTCTGACTGTCTGTCGATAATCTCATAGTTGCAAGTGATTGGTGGAGTTATGTCTTGGACAATCCTGTTATTGAGGGAACACCAAAGTACCTGCGCCTTTGAAGGATTGATGACTGCTTCATTTTGGTCGCACCATTTTACAACTGAGTGAAGTCTTTTCTCCATGTTCCTTGCCATCTGAAGTCTGTCATCTCCGTGCTCGTATGCCATTATGTCATCCGCAAAGCTCAGGACACGTCCAGATTCTTTCAGATGCATCGTTACCTGTGCAGTGTACACATTGAAAAGCACAGGAGAGAGGGGGATCCTTGGGGCAGTCCTGGAGCAATTGATACCGGATCTGAAGTCCATTCACCCTGTCTCAGGGCCATTTTTCTCTCCACCAGGGCTACTGCTACCCATCTCACCAGCCATATGTCTACATCAAATTCCAGGAGACGGTCGATCAAATGTTTATAGCTGACTCGGTTGTAAGCATCCTCAAGGTCAAGTGCCGTCACAACTGTTTCCTTCCGCTGCTGAAAGCCTTCATAGATGTCGTACGCCATGACAGCCGCATTCACTGAGGTTTCTCAATGGGGTCTATAGCTGCCAAGCTCATTTGGCAACAGGGACTTCCTCTCTTCCTCTGTAAGTGTGCTGATATTCGTCCGGCAACTATCTTTTCCAGAATTTTCCCATAGGTGTTCTGCATGGCTATCATCCTGTAACCACTGAGAGCCGAGTGGTCTTTTCCTGGTTTGGGGATTGGTATCAACCAGCTGTGCAACAATTCTTCAGGGATTTCACCAGTGCCAATGCTTTTGTTGAAGTCTTTTGTTATTCCTTCAATCATCTCATCATCTGCCTCTTTCATGTGGCAATATCTTACACCATCCGGCCCTCCAGCACTGTCCTTGGCATGTTTTATCGTTCTGGAAACCTCTTCTGTAGATATCACATCCTCGTAGTTTGCATACATTTCTGGTGTCAGCACTCTAGAAACATCTCTTTCAACTTCCTTTCTTGAGTCAATATTTCCCTAGTGTGTTTGATGGATGAATCGGTCCAAGAAAGCCCTACCTTTCTCCTCATCAGTTTGGAGTGTCTTTCCTGACTCGTCCTTCACATTCACGGTGGTTTTTGAGTGACCCTGTCCACACATCTTCTTTTGCAGTTTCCAGAACGTTGAGAGTGCCTTCTCAGCTGCAATGTTTTTTACAAACTCTTCCCACTTTGCTGTTTTGGCCAGATGGGCTTCAGCTTTGAACCTATCTCGGGCTTGCCTCATCTTCTCTCTAGCAGCCTCCCTTTCTTCCTCAGTGACAATGGGGTTCTTCCTCTTTCTTTGCCAGTCCTTAACAGCATTCCTCTTCTCTTTCCACAGGCAATCGATTTCATTGCTCCACCATGGTGGCTGCGTTACGTTAGATCTTGAGGGTTTTCTGTTCCAGGCCTTCTTTCTCAGGCCTCCCAAGACCGAGGTGTCTGGTTTGTACTTAAACACCCTCTTGACCTTTTGTCTCACTGTCTTTCCACCCTTTGATATAAGAACTGAGCATGGTAGGTGGTCGCTACCGTGATCTGCCAGTACACTCCATTGTGTAAAAGCCACCTGTTTTGATCAGGGCCAGATCTATATTGGAGTCCTGTTCACCAGTTCTTTGAGATAGTCTTGTCATGGTGGAAATGTTGAGCATGTGGAGATCACTTTCAATCAACTTGCTGTCCAAAGCCTTTCCCTGACCATTTTCGTTGACATTACCCCAGGTCGAGCTTCTGGCATTGAAGTCCCCAACGATCAGGACAACATTCTCCAGAATCGCAGAATATGTACAGTTCCAAAATGGATGACGACAAGAAGAGGCCGTCCCAACAGGGCGACACTGTACAAACTACAGGGCAGAGACGGAGGCTTTAATACATGCAGCTAACATAATTAAAAATGTGGAAGACCCCCCAAAGCCAAGTAGTATTCCTACCTGACGCATGTCAGTACTGCAGGCAATCACTGCCGGCAAACTACCAAGGCTACGAGAAGTAATTGAGGACACCCCATGTCTGAGGATCATGCTACAGTAGATTCCATCGCACTGTGATGTCTTAGGAAATGAGCAGGCAGATAGGAGGGCCAAACTAGGAGCACAGAAAGAACAACCAGACAACAGTGTTAACTACACAGAAATAAAAACTATCATAAATACCATATTTAAAGCACCACAGACACCAGATAGCTACCATGAGCTGCCCCACAAAGAACAGGTGATTATCTTTTGAATAAGAACCCAACACACAAGAGTGAGACAACATATATATATACAGATGTTTTAAACTAGTAAAATCAACAAACTGCCAGTTTGGAGAGGCGGACCAAACTGTTGAACACATCCTTCAGCACTGCAAGACACACAGGGCCCTGAAACAGGAAACATGGCCAACCACATTGACACTACAAGAGAAGCTAAACGGGCCGACAGACGAACTGAGCAGGACGGCCCAATTTATGACAGATACCAGACTTCAAGTGTGACGCGATCGAGAAGCCGAAAAAGTACTGCACCAAAATAATGTCCTTTAGAAGGTAAAGAAAAACTTGATTAGTAGGAAAAAAGACTATACCATAGGTAGTTAAGCTAAAATTCATTGTGAGTTGACACAATAAGGCCAATATCTTGCCGGAAACAGTCTGGATAAAGAGTAATGTAAAGAAGCAAACGACATCAGAGCATCCGCAAAAGAGAGGGAAGCAACAGAAACAATGATGCCACGGTGACAAAAGAGACAGTTTGACAGAAACGAATAAAACCTCTAATAACTTTTATTTGCTTAAAAACTTGAGATGATTTTCACCATTAAATCTTCAATGCATTAATTTTTTTAAAAACCAGATACTTTAAAAAAAAATCTTGTTCAAAACAAGTTAAATCTACTACAAATTTCAGAAGATAATATCCTAACTGAATACAAAAACTTCACCTGATAAACATTAAACACTGAAGGCAAAAGGACTAAGGTATCATGCACAACCTGCCCCCCCAAAAAAAACCCAAAAAAAACCCAACACCAATCACACAAAAAAACAACCAACCAACAAACAAAACCAAAAAAACAAGTGCCTCATTATTCACTACCAAAAAACAACAACAATACAGAGAAAGGTGTCTTTACTACTGGAGAAAACAAAGAGTTAAGACAACTGATCTTACCATCTTCTCTGATGCCAGTGGCTGTGATGATAGGTACTGCCACCATGATCAGGCCACTGGCACTCCACACATACTTCATGAGGAACTGCTCAAGCATAATGTACCACAACCGCTTGCGGAAAATCAAGTCCATCTGAGCTACCAGGGAGTGATAGCATTTGCTCAGCATGGACTCCTCAATCTGAAAAACGTAAGTTACATTTATTTAATCAACACCTTTTTTTCAAAATGACATTACAAAACACCTTTAAAAAATATTTTTTTTAGTGGGAGTTTTTAGTTTATTTTTTTTAAGGTTTTACGCGGCTCGCAACTGCATAAGGTCATATCAGCGCCAACGGGTGGATGTCAACAGAAAAGTCCAAACGGGGAATCAGGCTTACTCTGCTCACCTCTCTAGCCTTAACAGCACAAAGTCTGCTTCGACTATCAATGGACCCCGGAAATAGCAGTTCACAAGAGAGTGACAAACATACAAAAGAAGTAGAGGAAGAATGACGATAGTAAGGAAGGAAAGAAAAAGCAGCAGTTCCCCCCCAAGAATGATCCAGCACTGTATAAGCATGACACTGATAAAACAGCCCATTTACAGTTCTACTGAGCATAAGAACATGTTAATATCCCCCCTTTGGGAATTGCCTAAGACACTTCCTTCAGTAGCACTGCTCTGGGAAAGGCTTAATATACGAGTCTTACGGCACTTGCAACACAATAAGGATAAGGTCATATAAGAGCCGAAGATTAGAGGTGTTACAAGAGAGTAACAAACACAAAACAGAAAGAGGAGAGAAAAAGGACGATATATGTTTGACAAGAAAGAAGGAGCTAACCACACCAGACCACCCGCCAACCACCCATTACAAAACACTGACAGGCGCAAAGCTGTCATAAATAACTACTCGAGTCCCCATCCTTAAAATACCAAATCAAACTTGACTAAATTTGATAATGACAAGAGAAGTATATATAAAGATGAAACAGACCTCAAACTTTCAAGATTAAATAGATGGAAACCTCTGCATTAAACAAGTGAAACTAGAGAGACTTTTGAAAGATTCAAATGACCAAGAACATCTGAATTGTTTTATATATATATATATGTATACATATTATTTTTATTTACTTATTTTTTCAGTAAGTGTATTATTGCGCTCGCAAATGCATTGGTCATAAGAGCACGGGACACATTAACCATTTTCAGTTGGTAGGAAATTTTAAATTTTGTCCGGGTGATGGCCGAAGCTTGCTCTTCTTGTCAATTTCGGACCACCAACGGATCTTTCACTCGCACAACTTGCACACGGGACCTCCGAAATTTTTTGTCTTATCCGAGAAGGCTAGGTACTAGATCTTACTTACCATATAAGATCAGGGGTGTGGCTGAAAGATAGTAGTAAGAAGGAGCCAAGGAGTAGCAGTAGAAAGGCTGCAGAAAGAGTCAGGAGCCCAGAGGTGGGGGCAAAGGTGGTGAGGGGTGGGCGCAGAACGTGGAGACGAAAGCAGACAACAGAACACTTAAAAAGCAGGAAAGGAGGTGAAAGGATTTGAATTGGGGACCTATTGAAAGAGAGGCGAACACTGTTACCTCTCGACCACGAGAGCCCCCTTGTAACATAAAAAGTTAAAATGGACATTCAATTCAATTAATTTTTGTATATTTTCAAAAAATCTTCAAAATTTAAGAAACTGAGTAATGAAATACAGACTTGCTCTACCAATGACCTATGAAATTTAATAAATTAGGCATACAATTTTATAAATGGTTATTGATGTTCTATAGTCAATGGGTATAGCAGCTCATGCTGTTCCTATTAACTGAGAGGCAGAGGTGGACACCCAGTTCCCAACAAAGTGGAAATAGTAAAGACTCAGCAAGCTTCCAATTTCCACTTATTATTATGTTTTTAGATTGGAATTTAACTTGAAGGTCTATCAGAGAAAAAAACACTAAATAACGTGTTCCAGAACAATTTGAATTCCTTTGAGAGAATAGAGTTTTTTAAGGGGCTCTTTTATGGTCTTACTTAGAGGTAAAGTGTTCCGCTTCCTTCTCCACTCTCCTTCCATCACCATCTCCAGCCTGCTCTCTGCTCTTCTCTCCCTTACTCCTGACTCTTTGTACTACTGCTACTCCAGTATATCTTTTATTGATGTCTTTCAGTTACACCCTAGATCTAAGAGTAGGTAAGATTAAACACCTCTAGCCTTCTCAGGAAAGGGTAAAAACATCTCAGAGGTCCCCTGTGCACGTTGCACCTAATATGTTAACTTAAAAGATCCCTTGGTGGTCATAAAATTGATGAGTAAGTAAGTAGGCTTTAGCTGCCACCTGGCCAAAAGTCAAAATCAACTTCTACTGAAAATACTTATTAGGTTGATTAAATACAAAAAAAATATTGATTTGAGTACGTTCAAAATCAGAATGTGGCTGCCTTAAATTGAAGGCAAGGGGTCTTTGCTGAAGAACCAGTAGCAAACCCCTGAGATCTAGCAAGGGAACGCAAAGAAGAGACGAAAGGAGCGTTTTTTCCCACCCACCGTACAACATTTTAAGTTTTGAGCCAGCACTGAAAAAAGATGCTTTGCTGCTCTCCTGTCAGAACACAGTGTTGCTTTGCAGGCTTTAAAAAAGAACAAATAATTTAGCAATTTCATTACAACCATGTCATGATGTTTCTTATATTTGTTCACATATTGGTAATTAATTTTTTTGGGGTCATTCTGGTTGCGAAAGTGTAGTAAATGGCAAACAGGGTTCAAATTTTCCAGTGGTAAGCATTTATTTTCAAGGGGTACAAAACAGTGCCTGTGAGCACACACATGAATGTAAAGTCAAAATGGTCTGAAATGACCTTCTATTGTTGAGACAAAATTTGTTTGTTTTAGTTTTTGTAAGTGTTTTACGGCGCTCGCAACTGCAAGGTCATATGAGCGCGCGGGACACATTAAGCTTTTTCAGTTGGTAGGAAATTTTGAATTTTGCCCGGGTTGCGGCCGAAGCCTACTCTATCGATTTTAGACCACCAAGGGATCTTTAACGAGCGCAACTTGAATACGGGCCCTCTGAGATTCTTCGCCCTTGTTGTCCGAGAAGGCTAGAGGTGTAGATCTTTCCTACCAGAAGATCAGGGGTGTGGCTGAAAGACAGCAGTAAGAAGAAGCAGAGGAGTAGCAGTAGAAAGGCGGTAGAAAGAATCAGGAGCCCAGAGAAAGGGGGCAAAGGAGATGAGGGAGTGGGGGCAGAAAGAGGAGACGAAAGCAGACGACAGAACATTGCTAGAGAGCAGGAAAGGAGGTGAAAGGAGACAAATTTAAAGAATAAATTTTTTTTCGGTCACTACCCGGATTCGAACCCGGGACCTTCGAAGGAGAGGCCAACACCTTAACCTCTGGGCCACGAGAGCCCCCAGTCGAAATTTGAGTAAAAAGAAGCACATCAACACAATAAAGATATATATATAATATAGTGACAGAGTGTCATTGTAAAAAAATAGCAAGGGACAAATGGGGAGTGACAATTTGAGATAGTCTTACAGGTGGTCATTAGAGCTGTTACATGATGTGTTTACACACATTATATGTATGTGTATTCATCTATCCATCCATCTAGTCATGTGTACATCACCTAAGGTCTTGTGACTTTATCATATTTTTCAGTCTAATTTTTCTTTGGGCACCATTACATTTTTTTTTTTAAAGCTGAATTTGGTGAGTGGAAAAGCAAAAAATCAACTGTCAAAAACCTTCTCTATTACTTTAAGCACTCACAGATTCAAACAAAATTAAGCATGCATGTAAGAACAAACAGTTAAGGGAGCATGCACTCTACTGTAAGTCAGAAGACTGACAAAAAACATGACATGACATACATGGTGTTGTTACAGTTGTACTGATATGGATCTTGAAATTTAAAAACTCAAACAAAGACAAAGTTGAAGCACTGTAACTCATTATACAAGGTCAAATGTTAGATAACATGGCAAACGTGACAGAAACTCAGTTTACAAGACTGGTGTTGAAGATGGACTCGAAACTTGGACACCAATTGCTATTTTTGAATCATGCAGAATGAAAAATTTTGATAATTGAATATCGTATGTTTGTAATGCACAACAACAATTCGTTATGATTTTACAGGTTGTCATGAGAAAGAAAAGAAAATTTGTCAGTGGTAACGAAAGCGAAAGCAGAATTTGATTTTCGAAGTGGTTAAGTACGGCTAGACTGCCAGTCTAGGCGTACTTAGATCTAGGTTTAGCACTATCGACTCAAGCCTGTTAAGTACACAGGTCTCATTAGATCTAGATCTAGTAATTATTCAGGTTCAAATACATGCAAGTCAGTAAGGCACCTTTTGGTTTTGTCTGAAATGATACTTTAAGCATTGCAAACTAAAAATTTCATTTACAATTCAGCCATCAATATTAAGTATGGCTAGACTGCCAGTCTAGCCGTCCTTAAGTACGGCTCTTAGGCCCTATTAACATTAGAAAACAGGAGGTTTAAAATACATGCACTGTCAACAAGGCACCTGGTTTCGTCTCAAATACAAATACTTTAGGTACTGCACACTAAAAATTTATATTTACAATTCAGTAGGCTTATTTTTTTTTAATGGTCAGTCTAGCCATCATATTTAGAAACGGCTAGACTGCCAGTCTAGCTGTACTGCCAGTCTAGCCGTCATTAAGTACGGCTAGCCTCTTCCTATGATTTTCCAGATTGAGACTCGCTTCTTGTTCACGGAAAGAATTCCGTAACGGGTGACCACCCTATGAAATCTAGATCATAACCCTAAACTAAACCTCCTCATATTATAACCCTACGCTAAACCACTAACCTTACTGTAATTTATCTAACCCAAATCAAGAGTCAAGGCAACCCCTCTCCCCTGAAACCCCTAGTAACATACATGATGGCAATGATATATATATATAAAATATATATATATGATATCAGGAGGCCTTCCATTGATTTTGATGGCCATTAATTATAACTAACTAGATTTCAGTTTTCGGTCAACAGAATCTTTCCCCTTGCCTTAATTACTGTTGAAAAATGCAACAGTTTTGTTTTGCATATTTATCCACGTAGCTTAACATCTCCACATGCATCATTATATGGCCACCTCTATTCTCACCCCGGGTGAGAACAGCGCAGGCGAGCCTTTTGGCTATTCTCACCCGGTGTGCGTTCACTGTGATAGCCTAGGCCAACCAGTGTTACAGTCACATAGCGTTCACCGTGAACAAACGTTCCAGCGCTCTTGTGTTGAAAGCGTGCAATTTTGTTTGTGGGCAGTGAGGGAGAAAGAGAGAGAGAGAGGAAGAGAGAGAGAAAGAGGGAGAGAGAGAGTGAGAGAGAGAGAGAGAGAGAGAGAGAGAGAGAGAGAGAGGGAGAGAGAGAGGGAGAGAGGGAGGGAGGGAGAGAGAGAAAAGAGAGAGAGAGAGAGAGAGAGAGAGAGAGAGAGAAAGAGAGAGAGAGAGAGAGAGAGAGACTTAGCGCGATTCGAAAAGTTAAATAGCTGTAGTATCTTTGTAATTTGTAGACAACCAAATTAATTTACTTTTTTTGTGTTTTAACAACATTTTTATCTTTGTTTGTCAATTTGATCGCCCACACCCATAGACAGTTTCAGAAAGAGAAAGAGGGAGAGAGAGCTAGAGTAGCAGCACGAGAACTTCCGGGCAAAACAAAATGGCGACCGGCAAAGTTAGGCTCGATTCGAAAAGCGAAATAACCATAGCATCTGATCTTTGTAGACGACCAAATTAGCTTTAAACTTTTGTGCTATAACGTCATTATTTCTTTGCTTTTGTCCATTTGACTGGACCATCCACATTGATAGACAGTATTCTGAAATAAGGAAAAAAGAGGTCCTGTCTCACACCGGGTGAGAATAGCCAACGCTGGAAAGTCTCCCCCGGGGTGAGAGGTCAATCATATTTTTATTCTCACCCGGGGTGAGGATAGCCACTTTCATATTTATAAATAGGCCGGCTCTATTTCTCCGAACGTTAGGGAAAATAAACTTGAACTCTAATTCTCGGAACGGTTTCCGTTCTCGAGATTTGTTGAATATAAGCGAATAGAGTGGCTCGTGTGTGTGTGTGTTAGTGTGTGTGTAAGGTGTGAACGGGGAGGGATTTTTTTTTAACATGAAAGGATTTTAGCTTTTGCTGGGTGACTAAATGCAAAATAGGTTACACTGCAAAGGTCGAGCAGTCTTGTTTCCTCGCAGTACCTTAAATTTTGGAGGTATTTCCAAAGGAAATAGTCTGGGAACATTGCCCCAACCACAACTGAAGTATCTCTGAATATTCAGACATTTAAAAATCTGTAGCTCCAGAAATTGAATTTGGTGCAAAAAATGCTTCTTCCCAGTCCTCGCAAAATGGCAGAATGAAAGGATGACGCCTAAATCTTGCAAATAACCCAAAAAATCTTGAGATCGGAAACCGTTCGGAGAAATAGAGTTCAGACTATCGGACTGAAGTCCGAATATGAAAAAATGTTATTCGGACTCTGATTCTTGTCCAGCATGACATCACTTTTGACTTCCGACTTCCTGTGACTCTTGACTCCAGCTTCCTGTCCTGCCTCACTTGTGACTCGCCTCAGGCTGGGTAGAGACCGGGATCACTTCGGGCAAAATGGCGTTTTGTGTAGGAGACGAGTTTTTATCTTTTATGATGAATTTGAGGCCGGCCTGAAAAGTTATAGCGCTTCTAATAAATGTTTATTTGTTTAGAGGTCATCAGAAGCAATTAAAAGTTCAGAAGGCTCGTTAGCGTGTGTCGGGGTCGGATGGGCGGCCTGCACACGTGTGGCTGTGTGCGTGTCGGGGAGGGGGGTGCACTATCGGTCCGGGTGTTGAACGTGTTGACTCGAGTCTAGCCGTACTTATTCTTAATATGATGGCTAGACTGACCATTTACAAAAAATAGGCCTACTGAATTGTAAATATACATTTTTAGTGTGTAGTACCTAAAGCATTTGTATTTGAGACGAAACCAGGTGTCTTAATGAAGGTGTATGTATTTTAAACCTCCTGTTTTCTAATGTTAATAGGGCCTAAGATAAGTGTATGGCTAGACTTCTTGTCTAGCCGTACTTAAGTACGGGTAGACAGTCAGGCTAGCCGTACTTAAGGACGGCTAGACTGTCAGGCTAGCCGTACTTAATATTGATGGCTGAATTGTAAATGAAATTTTTAGTTTGCAATGCCAAAAGTATTTGTATTTCAGACAAAACCAAAAGGTGCCTTACTGACTTGCATGTATTTGAACCTGAATATACTAGATCTAGATCTAATGAGACCTGTGTACTTTAACAGGTTTTAGTCGATTGGGCCAAACCTAGACTCTCAGTCTAGCCGTACTACGGCTAGCCACTTCGATATGAAAAAATGTTATTCGGACAGACGGCCTTATTTTCCCGAACGTTCGGTGAAACAGTCACTTCGTTATTTACGATTAAAGCCACTTCAGACTTGTTTGCGCAAAAAACTCACACTTGGAATGGAGAAAGCCTAAAAATTACACACACAAAAAAAAGACCAAACAGTCACTTGCTTCTCTTACCTTGTGCCCATTGTAAAATGCAATTTCTTCAGCATTAGTAATTATTCTTGAATGCATGAATCTCAAGTATCCCTTCCGGTTGGCTTCCTCAGCAACCAGTTTTCCGAATTTTGGAGACACTGTTCTCAATATCTTGGCAGTTATGATGATGACCACACTTGCAATGATAGTTGGAGTCTTAGAGCTGGCACCTCGACTACTGGCTAGTCTATATAAAGTGAAAGACATGAGGGCAACATCAAGTAGTGGCTTGGTCAGATGTGAATACAAATGGGCAAGAGATGATGTGAACATCGTAATGTCTTCTGTCAGACATTGATCAGCATTTGAAAGTCGACTGTCAAGGTTGCTGACACGGTAGTAAGTTTGATTGTTAAAATACTTTTCATATGCATGATTCACGAGGCGAGAACGAAAGACCAAAGCCAGCTTACTCTCGAGGAATCGGATCAAACTGTTGATGAATGTGGCAGGGACAGCCAAGAGGATCCACTTGGACAACTGCATTATAAATCTTGTAACATTTCGTTGTACAATTGTTTGAACAATACTTCCATCAAGCTTTGCGACATAAATAGAAAGGAATGTGCGAGCAATCAAACTGAAAGTGTGCACCAAGAGGAATCCAAACTCCTTACACCATATTCTTGGTATAATGATTTTCACCAAGTACCGCAACTGAGAATAGAACAGTTTGTCAACATTTGGACTGGCTTTATCCTTTTTGGCATCTTGCTCTTTTTGATTATGGGTTGGAGATTTCGCAGCATTTTTTTGGCCATTTTTGCTTTCTCCATCATCAGTTTTTTTCCTTTTGCCGTTCCCTGAAATCAGTTTAACAAGGTGTGGATAGTATGTGCGAAGACCGTAGGCTGCAACGACTGATAAAAAGGCATAAGTAGCTAACTTGCCTTTTCCTGCTTTTATCTTTTTCGCAGAATCGAGAAATTTGCTAGCAGACATGGTGGTAAAACAGACACGCTGGCGACAATTCTAACAGCTAAATTCAGGGTCAAAGTCAAACAGCTGATCATTGGTGTGCCCCGATCTCTCTTGGACTTGGCCTTGGTGGGCGGAGAAGCGCTTCGAGTTTGCGAAAAAAAAATCGGTAACAAGTTACACAGGCATGGAAAGACAAAAACCTTCAAAACCTTCGACTGGTATAAGCTTAGCTTCAGATCAACCCCTTTAGGCTTAAAAGGTCGATGACAATACAAAGACGGTCCACTAAATAACACTGGTGCGACCCACAGAAAGACTGTGATGTTTTGGTTGATCCATCTTTCCTTTCCTCTCCACTTCCGGTTCAACAGTCAAGCACACAAATGGTGCATTGCCACTTAGGACAGATAACTAGAATGTGCGTCAAAGGGTGTGTGTGTGTGTGTGTGTGTGTGTGTGTGTGTGTGTGTGTGTGTGTGTGTGTGTGTGTGTGTGTGTGTGTGTGTGTGT